TCTTCTTCTTCTTCTTCTTCTTCTTCTTCTTCTTCTTCTTCTTCTTCTTCTTCTTCTTTTTCTTCTTCTTCTTCTTCTTCTTCTTCTTCTTCCTCTTCTTCTTCTTCCTCTTCCTCTTCTTCCTCTTCCTCTTCCTCCTCTTCCTCCTCCTCCCCCTCCTCCTCCTCCTCGTCGTGCTGGAGCAGAATAGTGTTCCACAGAGAAGTCTGTAGAAAAAGAGACTGGGAAATGATCACTTCCCATAAAATCACAAATTTCCAAACAAAGTGGGAAAGATATTCAAGTGGAGCCAGAATATAATCTATTACACTGGCTCCTCTGGGGCTCACAGAAGTAAAACTCCATCAACCTAAATAACCAGTCAATGGAATAAAATTTCTCTGGATCACAAATTTAGCCTAGAGGAGTTAGTAGATCTTTATTCTGATGGTCTGATGGGGCCAACCTAGCTAAAGGGGTGGACTTTGGGCACCAAGACTTCGGCATCCAGATGTTTACATTTGCCTCGCTGTCAGTCTGGGGTACCCACTGTGGTGAATTCTCAGTATTTGAGTTAAGGGAATTGTCCAAACATATTAATTTGCGTGAGACTAGAGCAAGGAAAGAGTATCCTCATGGCAGCAGACAACACAGCTGCCAAATATTACATAAACACGCAAGGGGGCACAGGATCTTTGTCTCTCTGCAGAGAGAAGCGGTCCTCTCTTGGCTCAAAGCCATTCATTTAGACGCCTCCCTCCAAGCCATTCATGGGACTGGTGTTCAGAACACCAGGGCAGATTGTTTAAGCAGACAGCTGAGTCCAGACCACAAATAGGCACTCAACCCAGCTTATCTATACCCAGTGTTTCAGGAGTGGGGTTTCCCCACAGTGGACCTTTTCGTGTCCCCATTGAATACCAAATGCTCTCGGTTCTATTCTATCTATGCCTTCCAGATTCATTGGGGGGGAAGTTTTTCTATGTTTTCCTTATCCTGCACAAAGTTATCCAGAAGTTAAAGGTGGAGAAACCATGTGGTATCCTTGTGGATCCTTTTTGGCCTTCCCGCCCTTTGGAGACTGTCCCAGGGGAGACACATCACTGTACCTCCAGTGGGGCCCATTGGTGCACCATGACGTGAAGTCTTTGCATTTAACGGTATGGTTGATCCATTGAGTCAGACCTATTTGTACAGGGTCATCGAGGTTCTGCAGGTGGCCCTTAAACTGCTCGCAAATCATACTCCTCAAAATGGGACAAATTCTCATTCTGGGCATCTGAGCAGAGTTTAGATCCTCGCTCCTACCCCCTGCTGGCAGTGTCTGACTTGCTGTTGACACTGAGGAATAGAGGATTAGCAGTCTCCTCCGTTAAAGCGCAACTAGTGGCTATCTCTGCCAACCGTGACAAGGTGGATGACTGTGCTGTTTTCTCTGCTCTCCAGTCCAAGAGGTTCATTAAAGGGCTTTTCAGTCTATTCCCTCCTGCCATTATTCCAACCCCACAATGGAGTTTGTGTTTAGTTTTATCAGCCCTGATGGGGAAGCTGTTTGAACCTTTGGCGACTGCTGACATGCTGATGTCATACAAAATGGTGTTTCTAATTGCAGTAACATCGGCTTGTAGGGTTAGTGGCGCAGGCTGTAAAAAGCCTGCAGTAAAAGCTATCACCGAACAGCCACAAGGCTGTTCGAGTCCCACCGTGGCTGGGGTGAGCTCCCGGTCCTTGTCCCAGCTTCCGCGCACCCAGCGGTTTGAAAGCCCTAGGGCAAGTAGATAAATGGGTACCTGCTCTTAGAGAGTGGGGGGCACCCTCCTTCCATGGATTGGCGTGTAGCAGCGGTGGCAGCTGAGCGGTGGCGATGGGCGGCAATTTGGCAAATATGGCGGTGGTCTGGTGTCGGGCGACGAGTGACCCAGGCTGAGACTGGCTCAGGAGATGTGACAACGCAATGACGTAGCATGGTCGGAGCCAATAGGGACGGAGACCAGTACTACAGCCGTTGCATAGCCGCGCACCATGAGGTCCACTCCAGAAGGAGTCGCTGCCGGAAGAAGATCCTGCCGAGACACTATTGCCTTGAAGCAGGAAAGAACCCACCACGAAAAAGAGCTGGAAAAAAGAGTAACATTAAGTGAACACACCCTGCTCAGGTGCCTGGTAGGCATTCACTTCTCCCTTGTATAATAGGGGACCTTTGGTGTGATCTCCCGTTTGCCAGATTTCATTATGATAGACCTAGTCTTTTCTTCCTGCCCAAAGTCATAACTCAGTTCCATGTTACCCAGGACATTGTGTTATCCGGCATTTTCCCTCTCCCTGTCATCCCCTACAGAACAGGTTCTGCACACCCTGGATGTTAGGACGTGTCTTTTGTTTTATTTGGAGTATACCAGAGGTTTCTGCTTAGATAAATCTTTGTTTTTCAGAGCACAATAAGGGAAGGGTGGCCGGTCAGTACCTAGGTGGGTGGTTTCAGCCATCAGAGTGGCATATAGAGCCAAGGAGATGCCCTGCCCTCTTCCACCCAAGGCACACTCAACCAGGGCACAAGCGTCATCAGCAGCCTTCATTGGTAGCGTCTCCATATCAGACATCTGTAAGGCAGCAACCTGGTCCAGCCCTTCCATGTTCTTGAAGCATTATGCGATTGATGTGGACCCTGGGAGGGAAGCATCGGTAGGAAGAGCAGCGTTGCAGTCATTATTCCATTGATCAGCCCACACCCACCTCCTTGGCAAGTCAGCTGGCTACTCTCCCATATGGGACTGCACAGAAGCCACAAAGACGAAAACAGAGTTGCACTTGCCTGTAACTGACGTTCGTTGAGTGAGCTTCTGTGCAGGCACACATCCCTCCCTCCTTTCCTCGCTGTGGGCTGCTCCGTGTAGCTCCAGGTACTCACTGTGGCGATAGGAAGATGGAGGAGGAGACCACTCCTGATCACGTGCCGTTTTGGGTGGGAACAACCGTCTCCAGAGGGGAAGGGGAGCGCTCTCTGCATCTAGAGCTCTAGAAACTTGTAAAAATTCTCTCTGCAGCTGGCCTGTGTACGCACAGCAGCCCACTCAGTGAACTCCCGTTACAGATGAGTGCAACTATGTTTTGTCCTCCCTGCTTCTTCTGCTGAGCCTCTTTCCTTATATTGGCTCCTGTTCCCTTCTGAACAGGTGCTGGGTTTTCCTGTTCTTATTTAGACTTCCTGAATACCCTGAGAAATTGTTTTAGCGTAATGCTGTTAATGCCACCTTACTCCATCCATGGCTTGTGTAGCAGTGTGCTATCAACAGTGTCCTTAACCCCCCCCATCCTTTTTTTTGTTTTTGTTTTGCAAAACAGTTATTGTGTGAAGACTTTCACAGGGCACAGAGAATGGGTCCGTATGGTGCGACCTAACCAGGATGGCACCCTGATTGCCAGTTGTTCTAATGATCAGACGGTGCGTGTTTGGGTGGTAGCGACAAAGGAGTGCAAAGCTGAACTCAGAGAACATGAGCACGTGGTAGAATGCATTTCTTGGGCTCCTGAGAGCTCTTATTCCACCATATCGGAAGCTACGGGATCCGAGGTAAGGGGCTGTCATCTCCTCCCTTTTGTTCCTTCTTTCCCTCAACAGTATTCTCATGTGTTTTGCGACTTCCTTTGCTGGGGGAGGGGGCTTGCTTGAGCACGTAGACATCTGTGGTGGCTGTCTAAAATTTCCACCACATGCTGGCTCCATCTACAGCTGCCTTACTTCCAGCCGTTCGCCTCTTCTCCCTTCCGCCAGGGAGTTGATGCCACATAATGGCTAGAATTTCTTTATTTTGGTGTATTTTGAACCCCACTTTTCTCTCCCAGTGTGAACTGGAAGCATCTTACAAAAATACCATTTAAATAAACAAAATACAGTGTAAAGAATAAGGTACACAGGAGCATCCTGGGCTTGTGTCCACTGGATTAGTTGGTCCAAGCTGCAGGGAAAGGGGCACAATCCCCATAGGCTTTAGTCTTGCACCCCTGGCCACGCCTGGGCCATGCAACAGAAAGCAAGATGCTCAGCCTGGGTCTGACAGTCTGCAAAATAGTAACAAACAGGACCGTGGTATCAAGAACCATAAATAAACAAAAATGCACCATGTCACCACTCAACTCTATACATGTAACTTCAAATACTATTTGTTATAAGAGAATAAAGAATTTTTAATAACTATGTGTGTGTGTGTGTGTGTGTGTGTGTGTGTGTGTGTGTGTCACAGAAACATAGAGTTGGAAAGGACCATCAGGGTCCTCTAGTCCAACCCCTGAACAATGCAGGAAATGAACAATTATCTCCCCCCCCACACCCCCAGTGACCCCTGCTCCAAGCCCAGAAGATGGCTTGGTGGTGGAGGAAAGAATAGGGGAGGCAGTGGTCACGTTAGCACACTTGACTTGCTGCTGCTTGGTTGAAGGGAGGGATTCTGGTTACACACCTCCAGAGCTGTGTTCGAGGTTATCTGCTACACAGTTCATTGAGAAGCAGGTTGGTGTGGGCTGAAGTGTCCGCCATGAAAGCACAAGACTTCAGAGTGTGCACAGCTGTTCTTTCTTGGCAGGTCAGCTTGTCGTGGAAGACACCCCCCCTACCCATTTCAAAACTGTCATGGGAAGGGGCAGGGTGGGTGTGCTGATATTGAGCTCTGAATTGGGCAAAATTCACTTGAACTTGGTCCTTTCCTCACTCTTAAAAATTGTCTTCTGGGAGTGCACTTAAGGCCACTTTTTTGTGAGCTGACTGCAGTTCCCTCTCCCCTGCCCTCTGCCGGCTCAAAGAAAGCTCAGGGGACACATTGAGGCCTGTTCTGTGGCAGACCCTGCGTCCTCCCCTCTTTCCCACCACGGGGTTCCCTGGTGAAGCTTTCCGTGCCTTTAGAAGAGAGATGTGCTTCAATTCCATCCACAAACAGTGGGCTCTTTTGTATGGTTTGCTCTAGTCTTGGGATTCTTATAGCAGCAGCAGATCATATGAGGGGGATTGCCCTGAGCGCTTTTCTCCAGAGGGTTGAACAAACGGCTGGGGCTTCTGTTGAGCACTTGGGGATCTCTAACTCATAATCCTTGAATTCTCTACAAGATGTGATTTTTTTTGGGGGGGGATGTAGGACTCAGAAGCAGCGTTCCCTCTCAGCTGAGTTAGCGTGAGCTAGCTCACAGTTTTTTAGCCTCTGGCTCACACATTTCTGTCTTGGCTCAGGAAGGAGGGCTCCAGAGCAAACTAATTGATGCAGTAGCCAAACTGCTCGCTCTCAACTTTAATGCCAGGAGCTCCCAAAGTAGGATTTTTGCTCACAAGACTGCACGGCTTAGAGGGAGCATTGCTGAGAAGTGAAATGGGCCTTGGGGGGGGGTACAAGGGGAGGAAAGGCAAGTGGAGCAGGCTGGCAGAAGAGGAAGGTGGCTTGTCTGTGTGGAGACAGAAGAAATTGTTTTTGTGTTAAAAGTGAGAGAATCCATACAAGCAATGGTACTGGCCACTGTTGGGCTTCAATACTCCCTTTATTTACCCCTCCTGGAAAGTCGCAGAGTAGAAACCGAGCTTTGGGCCTGCCAGCGCTCCCATTTCGCATTTACTGCTGTCCAGTCTGGAGAGGGGTTGTTGCTGAGCCCATGTCTATAGTTTTAGGCTGGTCTTCAGATGGTGCAGAGGAGCTCACGTGGAAAGAGATTTGGCAACTCGCCACATTTTGGGCTGTTCTTTTTCTGACAGAACGTCACCTTTCTCTAGCCCTGGGAGTATTCTCCCGGCTGGCTTCATTCCATAGTAACCATGTTGGCCACTAGGACAGTCCTTCCAAACAAACGTCAGTGGTGTCCAGTGCAGGGTGTCCCTTTGGTTATGCTTTTGAGTCATTTCTCTCTTGCCCTCTTTGACAGAGGCAGAGGAAACCTTGTTCTGGGGGCACATGGGGGCCCTTTTGCTTGTGCATGAATGAATGCCGCAGCCGTGGTTTGTGCGTTGTTTGCGTGAGGGTTGGGTCTGTGCTGCTTACATGTCAATTTTGCCTCAATTGTAGACGAAGAAGAGTGGTAAGCCCGGGCCTTTCCTGCTTTCTGGATCTAGAGACAAGACCATTAAGATGTGGGACATTAGCACTGGCATGTGCCTTATGACACTGGTAAGTTCTGTGTGAGCACACTTCCTAGTTTGTCAACACTGCAGTCCTGTTCAGCATCCTTACCTGGGAATAGATTGGGGCACCTTGACTGGAGGATCCCAAACTGTTGTCCCAGCTAAATGGAATCAGTAGAACTAGAGGAGGGGACAAATGGTTTGCGAGGGATTGTTCTCCCATCAGAAGATGGCTGCCTCCCGGTTTTAGGGTGCCCAAGACAAAGTGAACTCCACTAGGATGCCCTTGCATGCAGATTTAAATGCCTGTACAGCTGGGAAGTGACTCCGTCAAGGGAGCCGCAAAGGCCCTCCGCTTGCAAGGCCTGGGCAAGGCTGCCAGCAGCAGGACGTTTGGGGGGGCCACTCGTCCACAGGCTCACCAGAAGTCTGAAGGGACTTGACTTCACACACATGAGTCATGCTCTTTCATCATAAGCAGGAAAAGAAGGTTCAGGTTATGGGGGTGGGGGAACTGCTTTGGCCTCTTTTTGTTGGGGAGGCAAGATCCCCGATGGCCTACTTCCTTTCCCCTCAGGCTCCATTCATAGACTCATTGACTGCTACATGGAGTCAGTATTTATTTATTTGTTTTATTTTTATTATTTCAATTTATAACCCGCCTTGTCGGGAAAACTGGCTCAAGGTGGCGTACAGACATTAAAAGCAATAAAACAGTAAATACAGTAAAATTCATAAGAACAGCATAAAATGCTAATAAGAACAATACAGGTGATGGCGGCACGCAGTGTTCAATCCAATGATGGAAGACCATAGTGGAAGGCAATGCTGGAAGGCGATGTATCCAGCGATGTATCCTAGGGCCGTGGGATGTTCCGGTGACACACTCATCAGTGGCGGCTCCTAATCGAACGCCTGGTGGAAGAGCTCCGTTTTACAGGCCCTGCGGAACTGTAAAAGGTCCCGCAGGGCCCTGGTGTCCTCTGGGAGCTCATTCCACCAGTGAGGAGCCGCCACTGAAAAGGCCCTGGCGCAAGTAATGGCCAACCTGGAGTTTTTCAGGCCAGGGACAGTCAAGCGATTTTGCGACCCTGACCTCAGTGCTCTCTGGAGGACATATGGGGAAAGGAAAGGCGGTCCCTCAGGTAGACCGGCCCCTGACCATATAGGGCTTTAAAGGTCAAAACCAGCACCTTGAAACGAATCTGGTAAGCTATCTGCAGCCAGTGCTATGCCTTCAACACAGGCTGGTTGTGGTCTCGTATAGAAAGGCCCATCAACAGCCTGGCCGCCACATTTTGCACTAACTGCAGCTTCCAGATTTGAGACAAGGGCAGCCCCATGTAGAGAGCGTTGCAGTAGTCTAATCTCGAGGTGACCATAGCATGGCTCACTGTTGCCAGGTCATTGCGTTCGAGGAAGGGAACCAACTGCCTAATCAGCCGTAGATGGTAAAAGGCTGCCTTGGCAGTGGCTGCTTCCTGGGCCTCCATTGTTAAGGCAGCATCCAGGAGCACTCGCAGACTCCTGACCCTCGGCGCTGGCACCAATGGTGCCCCATGAAAGGTCAGTAGTGGGATCCCTACCCCCAACCTGCTCCGACTTAGGCACAGGACCTCTGTCTTCGTTGGGGGGCTGTCTTGTAGCCCTTGTAGGTCTATGACTTAAAAGGTGATCAAGAGCTTCTAACTGCTCCTACCAGCAAGAAATAAGAGGTCACCCCATATGTCAGGTGGGCCTTAATATCCCATTTCTGAGCTTGTGGGGTGTCCACAAGGAGGGTGTGGCACATGGCTATCTTCAAGCCTCTCCTTCCCCCATTTTGCTGGGCAGGGGTCAGTAGTTGGTTGGTGTTGCTCCTTCCTAGATCCCAGCAGCCGTCCGTGCATTCTCATTCCTGGCACTGCCCATGTCCCTTTTACCCCACGAGGAGGCGCAGGGTGTATCGGGCAGAGGACTTAGCTGGGGCTTGGCCTAGAAGGCAGCTGCTGCTTCCTTCCTCCACTGTGAACAGTCAAATGTGTTCAGAATTCTGGCTTCCTCTGCACGGGTCACACTAAAGCGAGCAGAAAATCTCTCCTGGGTTCAAGCCGTGCTCGGCTGAGGCTTCTTTCCCTTCCTGGTCCTCGTGCCAGAGGCAGGCATGGTCCTCCGCATTCCCTTCTGTCCTCAGTAACTGTAACCGGTTTGGAGCCAGGAATGAGAGCAGAGCATTTGGACTTTGGCTTGCTTTATTCGTTTGCAGACCCACTTGTGACCTGGTGCTTCTCTTTTGAAGGTGGGCCACGATAACTGGGTTCGTGGTGTCCTGTTCCATTCTGGGGGGAAATTTATTTTGAGCTGCGCTGATGACAAGACCTTGCGTGTCTGGGACTACAAGAACAAAAGATGCATGAAAACTCTCAATGCGCACGAACACTTTGTTACCTCGTTGGGTATGTATCCGTGGCTGAGTGCACAGTGAGATTCAAAGTGGGATTTCCTGTACCTTTCCTGTGGTCGGTCTTGAGTCCAGAGTTGGGTCCTTAACTCAGATGTGCCTCTGTTTGACCAAGCGAAAGCGCAGAGGAGGGCAACCAAGATGATCAAGTCATCGGAGCAACTTCCCCATGACGAAAAAAGACAGCTAAGGGGGATGTGAGAGAGGTTTATAAGATTATACTTGAGGTGGAGGAAGTGACCAGAGAGAACTGTTCCCCTTCTCCCGTAAAACTAGAACTCGGGGGCACCCAATGAAGTTGATGGGAGCAGAGCCGATAAAAGGTAATACTACAATATTGAACAACTAATGACATCATGGAGTTCACTGGCACAGGAGGTAGGGATGGCCATGAGCAGAGAAGTCTTTAAAAGGGGAGTGATACGGATTCATGGAGGGAGAGGTCCATCGATGTCTTCTAGGCATGGTGGCTCAAGGGAGCGGCCATATTCAGAGGCAGCGAACCTCTGAAACCCAGTGCTACGAGGCAACATCAGGGAAGAGCCCTCGCCTCTGAACCATTGGTTGGCCTTCAGGGCCACCGGTTGGCTGCTGTGTGAGACAGGATGCAGTCTGGCGTGTCTGGCTGTGCTGCATGAGATACTCCGGAGTGGAGTGGGGAGGAGAGGATGATCTGGGGAGTGCCCGAAGCCCATCTGGCCCAGTACAGTGTGCTCTGGCGGCAGCAGCAGCAGCTGTTCAAGGGCTTGAACAAAGAAGGGTCCTTGCCAAGACTGACCTTTAACTTGAGATTGCAAGGGCTGAATGGGAAAAACACATGACTTACGATGAAGCTGCAGCCCTCAGACAAGTGGAATAATAGAATCATAGAGTTGGAAGGGACCTCCAGGGCTATCTAGTCCAACCCCCTGCACAATGCAGGAAATTCACAAACACCTCCCCCTCCACACCCCCAAGTGACCGCTGTTCCACACCCAGAAGATGACAAAAAACCTCCAGGATCCCTGGCCAAACCAGCCTGGAGAAAAATTGCTTCCTGACCCCGACGTGGCAATCAGCATTTTCCTGTGTGTGTAAGAAAGGGCCACAAGAACTAAGCACTGAGGCAACCCTTCCTGCCCTCCCTCTCATGACCTGCCTAAATTCACATAATCCACATTGCCGTCAGATGGCCAGCTAGCCTTTGTTTGAAAACCTCCAAAGATGGAGAGCCCACCACCTCCCGAGGAAGCCTGTTCCACTGAGTAACCGCTCTAACTGTCAAGAAGTTCTTCCTCATGTTTAGCCGAAAACTCTTCTGATTTAATTTCAGCCTGTTGGTTCTGGTCCGACTCCGCACCATCCTCTATATGACAGCCCTTCAAGTACTTGAAGATGGTTATGTCACCTCTCTGCCATCTTCCCTCCAGGCTAAACATACCCAGTTCCTTCAACCTTTCCTCATATGACTTAGTCTCCAGACCCCTCACCATCTTCATTGCCCTCCTCTGGACACGTTCCCACTTGTCTATATCCTTCTTAAATTGTGGTGCCCAAAACTGAACACAATACTCGAGGTGAGGTCTAACCAGAGCAGAGTAAAGCGAGACTATCACTTCACGTGATCTAGACACTATACTTCAGTTGATACAGCCCAAAATTACATTTGCCTTTTTAGCTACCACATCACACTGCTGACTCATGTTCCGTGTATGGTCTACTAAGACCCCTAGATCCTTCTCACATATACTACTACCAAGATAAGGTCCCCCATCCTATAATTATGCATTTGATTTTTCCTACCTAAATGTAGAACTTTACATTTATCCCCATTGAAATGCATTTTATTTGTTTTAGCCCAGTTTTCCAGCCTGTCAAGATTATCCTGTATCCTGACTCTGTCTTCTACCATATTTCCTACCCCTCCCAATTTTGTATCATCTGTGAATTTAATAAGCATTCATCCACATAATTTATAAAGATGTTGAACAAAACAGGTCCCACGACAGATCCCTGAGGTACTCCACTTGCCACTCCTCTCCACGAGAATGAGGAACCATTCACAAAGCACTCTTTGGGTGCAATCTGTCAACCAGTTACAGATCCACCTGACAGTAATAGGATCCAAACCACATTTTACCAATTTGCCAACAAGAATATTATGTGAAACCTTACCAAAAGCCTTACTGAAATCAAGATAAACTATGTCTACGGCATTCCCCTTATCCAGTAAGGTAGTAGCTTTCTTGAAAAAAGAGATAAGGTTAGTCTGATATGACTTGTTCTTGAGAAACCCATGCTGGCTCTTGGTAATCACAGCGATCCTTTCTAAATGCTCAAAGACTGTCTGTTTGTTTGTTCTAAAACTTTTCCAGGTATAGACATCAAGCTGATGGGTCGGTAGTTACCTGGATCCTCCTTTCTCCCCTTCTTGAAGATGGGGACATTTGCCCACCTCCAGTCTTCTGGCACCTCACCTATTCTCCAAGAATTCTAAAAAAGAAAAGAAAAAAAAGACAGAGGCTCAGAAATTACATCCATGAGTTCTTTTAGTACCCTTGGATGCAGTTCATCTGGCCCTGAGAGTTTCATTTAAAGAAGCTAGTATGTACTACCCCTATGCCGATCCTAGGCTGCAAATCCCTTCCCTCATAATGCGTTCTGTTTTTGCTATATTGAGCACCATTTCCCTTGCAAGAGAAGGCTGAGGAAAAGTAGGAATTCAGCAGTTCTGCCCTCTCTTCATCACCTGTTACAATTTCACTTTCCTGTCCCTCCAATGGGCTTACCATGTCCTTGCTCTTTTTCTTACTCTGAACACAAGAAAAGAACCTTTTTTGTTTTTAGCATCTCTCTCTACCCTAAGCTCATACTGAGCTTTAGCTTTCCTAACTCTCTCTCTACAAGCACTGGTTGTTTGTTTATGCTCATCCTTGCTTTTAAGGCCCTTTTTCCACTTTCTGAATGGGTCTTTTTTATTTCTCAAGTCTTTAGAAAGCTGTTTATGGAGCCACCTTGGCTTCTTTAGGCTCCTCCCATTTTCCCTTCTCATAGGAATCGTTTGTGATTGTGCCTTCAGTGTTTCAGTTTTAAGAAACTCCCATCCCTCTTGAACTCCTTTCTCATGTATTTCTAACCATGGGATTCTACCCAGCATAACTTTACATAAGAACCTAAGAGAAGCCAATGTTGAATCAGGCCTGTGGCCCATCTAGTCCAACACTGTCACACAGTGGCCAAAAATACCAGGTGCCATCAGGAGGTCCAGCAGTGGGACCAGGACTTTAAGTTTGTCAAAATTTGCTTTCCTGAAGTCCAACTGATATGTCTGGCTATGTACAGCTTTCCCCTTCACCAAGACTGTAAATTCCAAAATTGCATGGTCACTACTATCCAGGGTGCCCACTACTCTCACCTCGTCAGCCAGTTCTTCCCTGTTGGTGAAAATCAAGTCCAAGATAGCAGATCCCCTTGCTTCCCTCGCCACTTCCTGGGAAATGAAGTGCCAAAAGGCAAGTCAGGAATTTATTGGAGTTTTCATTTTTAGCAGAGTTGGACTTCTAGCAGATATCTGGGTAATTGAAATCTCCCATGACCACCATGTCCCGTCTCTTTGAGAACTTTGTAATCTGTTCTAGGACTGTCTCATCCAAATCCTCTGCCTGGCTTGGTGGTCTATAGCAGACCCCCACCATAATATCACCGTTATTTCTTACTCCTTTTGTTTTTACCCAGAGACTCTCAATTGTGGACTTTCATGCTCAGTCACATATTTCCTCACAAGTATATGCCTCCTTTACATATTATGCAATTCCTCCACCCTTCCTCATTTTTCCGTCCCTTTTAAATAAGTTATACCCCTCAACCCTAATATTCCGATTGTGAGTGTCATCCCTTTTGGGTCATAGTCCCCTTCCTGTCTTAGGACTTCAAGTTCCTGCTTGTTTCCCATACTCTGTGCATTAGTGTAGAGTCATCAGAACCCCTGTTTTGTGCACCCTGAAGTTTTTGTGTCTGTAGGCAAGGGTTAGACCGCAGATCCCCCTGGACACAGGCTGTTTCCAGTTGCACGAGACCAAGCAGGAAGCTGTGGCTAAGACGTGTGTTAGGGAAACAGCCCTGGTAGCCTGTCCAGCTTGGACAAGGAGATGGCTGGTTGTGTGTCTCCATGGCAAAGAGCTCTTGCGGTCAAGTTGTTTAAATTTTGTTCTATGTCTTTAATTTTCTATCCTTGGATTCGTGAGGCAGTTTTTAGAGCTGGGGAGAACAAACCTGTCTTTTCAACAGCTGCAAAACCTTCTTTGCCAGACTGAGGGGGGGTAGATCCAGCCCTCTTCCAGAATGGCTTCCTCCAGCCTGAGGAGCCCTGTCCCCTCGTCCGCTGGGGAAGAGCCTCCTCGGAGTGGTGGAAGGCAGGCTTCAAGCCCGAGCCAAAGGGAAAGGTGGGGTAGGGGTACTTGAATCGTCAGGAATCGGCTTGGCTCATCTTTCGGTGCGATCTTTAGAGTAGTTAACATTGGTGAAGGCCTGGGAGTATGGGCAGTGGGGTGCGAGATCACAGGCTACCGGTTTGTTTGTTTTTGACACAACTGTCCATTCTGAACCTTCCGCTTCGATGATTTCTCATCTGGGTGGTATGTAAGATGACCTTGAGTGGGTGGGGCCACAACTTCATAGTTCTCTGTGTCATCTCCGTGGGTTGCATTGATCTGCCTTTTTTTGGAAAATTCTGAGAATGGTTGAACTAAAAAGTTGTGTGCATGTGTGTCTCCCCCTCCCCTCTTTTTCTCTCAGATTTCCACAAGACAGCGCCCTACGTGGTCACCGGCAGCGTAGATCAAACAGTGAAAGTGTGGGAGTGCCGTTGATTTGAATCCACGCCTGGCCCCGCCCCCTCCCCCCCTCCCTTCTGGATGCACTCGGATACCATGGTCACCCATTGAGCTCTGTTTAAAATAAATATTGTCCTTTCATGTAAATTATTCTGGATGTAGATTGAGCTTATTAAATGTTACACACAAAGTATTCATGCATGGTGAATCCAAATTGTATACTGTAAATTTACATACGTTGTCTAGAAGTACCATAGGTTTTACGAATACGGGCTGGCATTGGTCACATCAGACCTGAGAAGGCAGAAGCTGGTTGGTTGCATTAGGGGCACTTAAAAGAGGTGAGAGCAAAATCATCTTGACACCCGTTTTTCTTCTTTTCGGGTGGTGCCTGTAAATGGTGACTCTCATATGGGATGGGGGGGGGCCTCTTGCAGTAACAGACACACCTCTCTCTGTCACATCACTTAAGTGTGTTTAAGAAATCTTCTCAAAGGGTACTAGATAAACAAGGCTGCAATTTAGAATCTTACATAATTAATGGATACTAATTAAAGTTGGGTTCTTTTTGTCATTATATATTTGCCAAATCAATAGTTGGTTTTTTTTCGGCTTCCTATCAAGTTTAAAAAAATGGTTTAGTCTTCAAGCTGCAAAACGGAGAGAGACCTCGGTATGATGTGATGTCTTGTCTTGTTTTTAAAACCTGGTCATTGGAGTTCTGTTGCATTCTAACACTTGGCACTTAACACTTTCCATGCAAAAGATGTTTTAGGGAGGCCATCAGTTTTTGCTTGACTTCTGCTCTTAAGCTTCTGGCCGATGGCCCAGCTGCTGGCTTTGGCTATGGTTTCTGCAGAGTGCTGTCCAGAGTTGTGTCCCTTCCTTGCTCTCCAGAGGTCAGTGCGAGTGCAGCGAGCTGGGCAACATTGCAGTGATCCCCATTCTCTCTGGCTGAAGTCGGGACTCGGTGCCAGGGAGTGGAGACGCCTTTGCAAGCAGTGGCAGCTGGTGGCACCCTGGGCGGTTGGATCCTGCGGAGGACAGCAGAGCACACAGGATCCAAAGAGGAACACAGCCCCTGTGCAAGCAGAGTTCTCTGCACATCATTTTTTAAAAATCAGCAGAATGTTCATTTCAGAGTGGAAATACTTTTTCAGTTGGACAAGCCTATATTCCAAAAGACCAGAAAATGCACAAGCATTTTAATGGGCATTTTGGGCCAAATTGCATTGCAGGTAATGAAGAGTTTCTGGTCCTTAACTAACCAGGTCTCTTTAGATCCCTTTGAGGTATGTAGTGAACTGCCAGCCTGACATTTTAGCGTGGAGAGATTTTTGTTTTATTTGCTCTGTTCAGTGGAGGGACTTTTAAGAATGGTCCCTTTTTAAAAAGAAGTATGTAATAGCAAAGGAACACTTGAGTTTGGGAGGGTTTAAATGCACGCCAAGAGAAATGCCAATTCACCCCCAAGGTTTTGTGATCTGGCATCTTGTTGGAGGGTTTAGTTGATCAGTTGCAGTTAGGGCTGTGAAGGGGGTGTGTTTGTGTGCAGGGTAGCAGACAGCCACGTTTCTTGATCAGCCACCATGTTCCACAAGTGAATCTTGCACACTTGAGGTCTTACTTTTGTTTTTAAACTGTGTTTGACTGGAAATGGTTAATCTGCTCTTTTCCCTTCTTTCCCCTCAAGAACTTCTGAATCTATAGTGGGCACAGGGTTAATGGTTCCTGTTAATAGCAGTCAAGTGTTTTCCTGGCAAGGTGTACCAATTCTAGCTATTTTTTAAGAGTTCAGATAAACCACGTGTATTTCCACAACTAGAGGAGCAAAGGTTCTGTATCTAGCAGTGGAGTTCTCTGCTGTGTTCCTTCCTCCACCCCTTTGCTTTTTCAGGAAGTTCAGGGTCCCTTTGGCAGCCTTCTTCTGGGCTTGGGAGGGAGCCCTCCCTGCTTTGGCTGACCTGCAAGCGGCAGGGTTGTTTAGCCTCCTGCACAGGAGATATTTGGGGAGGGTTCTGAACTGGATCAGCAGTTTCTGACCTAGTTCTTAAAACAAAGGGGGAAAGCTGAATGAACGGGTCGGAAGTGGTGGTATCGGCTGTGGAACCATTTCTTAAAGGCTTCCGCTCTCGTGTGTTTTTTTCAACTTTTTTTCTGGCTGTCCAATCCTGTGCCTTTTCTGTATCGAGTCCAAATGCTTAGTTGGTTTGGTTCATAAAAGGAATTGTTGGAAGGTGTCCAGTGATTCATAGTTGGAAATACCTTTTTTGTTGTGTAAAAAAGACAGGTTTTTAAAAAATCAAAAGAAGGTGCCAGATTCCTAGACAAACCACGCCCCGTGTGTCCCCCCCCCTTGGAAAGAGGCTGCAGACAGACACCCCCCCCCACTCCCACAAACATTCCAGGACCACGTGAATTGACACTTGCCCAGTTCTTTCGCTTTCTCTCTCTCTTTTTTTTTGGAAAGTGCAGAGTTCTTTGAGGTTTGGACACAATCTGAAAACTGATGTCTCAGCGCATCTTGCACTTTACAATTTTTTTTGTTGTTGAGCAAAAAAAATTATATATATAAGCCGTCCTGCTTTTGTGTGTGGTGTGACCAATGATGTGCCCAGGGCACTAATAATTAAAAAAAAATAGTTGCTAGCAAGTTGTCAAAGAGCACTGTAGCATTTTGAAAGCTTTGGCTATTGCCTCACCAAGCCCCCCCACCCCCGCATCTTCTGTCAGCCTCTTGCTTCTTCTCCTGTTGACTACTTCAGTTTCTCTGTGAATTGAATTACCTATTACATCACTCTTAAATAGCTTTCTCTCTTCTTCCTCCTTCCTCACTGTTTCCTTCTCTTCCCTCTCCAAACTCATGAAAGCTATTTAAAAGGAAAAATCTGGGGTCTTGGTTTCATGGCTAGCAGAGGCTTGGTAATCCTGAGACTTTTTTGGAATGGAAAATTTATGGAATGTGAATGGAGGAAAAAATAAAGTACTCAGTAATTCCGTATTCTCAATCCAGCAGACTGTCTAATGCAGAACTTGTTTCAGCGGCAGAATGATGTACATATAATAGGGGAAACTGGCTTAGAAGGATGGGGGAGAGGGGGGGGGGGGGGGGGACGGACGACGACAGACAATTGAGCCAGGATGCTAACTGGCCTTTTTATTCTCTTTCCACTTGTGTCCCTGTAAAGGAACTGCTTTTTCTGGCCTAAACATTATCCCTTCCAGCTTTCCAAAGTTTATTCTCAAGAGTTAGCGAAATCTTCCACTTTCTTTAGAGGGAGATACTGACATGAACACAAGCCGTCTTAACCCCGCCCCCCCCCCTCCCCCCCCCCCCCAGAAAGACACAGAGATTGCCATTGGAGAAGTTTTCCCCCCACCCTTGTTCCCTCAGACTAGGAGTTAACTGAAGATATTGACACAATTAAATAAAAAAAATCAGTAAAGGAATGTATATAATACTGCTCTGTGTTTTACAGTAAGATTCGTTGCTCTCAGACTGTGTAAAACAAAATTTATTCATGTTTTCTGCATATTAAAACAAATCTTATTGTACCAATTGGTAAACTATTAAATGCATATAAAACTAACTGTGTTTCTCTTTTGGGGGGCACAGCACGGATCTTTAAGTTTTCTTCATATTTTATTTTTCACTCCACGGTTGTATGAGGCTGTTTTAGTCAACTCAAAACGCATCTCCTTGGGGTTCTAGCAAGGGGGTTGTGATACTTTAGTAGTGCCAGTTGATAAAAATGCATTTGTACTTGCCAAGGGCTGTGGTGACCGGGGGGACGGGGATGGGACCACTCCCTTGACAGCATTCTGCTCCTTGGCATTTGTCAGATAGGTTGGGGGCCTTTTCGTTTGCATACGTGGGCTTGGAAGTGTCTGCAGCAATAGCTCTCCAAGGTTTCAGTGGCAAAAGAGAGTTTCCAAAACCTTCGTTCCCGAGAACAAAAGGAAGGCCCTGAACAGTGTGATTGGGTACTGTGGGCTATATAATGGACCAGGACCCGTTTCTCTTCTCTTGCAATGTGCATCAAGCTTAGACTGAATCCTGGGGTGTTTCCTCCAGGTATCCCAGACAGAAGCCTTTCCCACCCCCTCACTGCCCTGTGATCCTTTTAACGGGCTGGCAGAGACCGCAGCTGCGGTCGTCTCCCTGCTGAGCTGCACCTCCACCCCCTGCTGAGCTGTGAGAGGTTGGTGTGAGTCTGTGATGCTGCCCTGTGCCAGGTGAGGCTGTGGCTCCATCTGGGTCTGTGTTGTCTTCTCGGGCAGCAGCTTTCTAGGGCCCCAGACTGAAAAGGCCCTTTCCCAACAGGAGCTGCTGCAGGAGATTCTGGAGCTGGCAGCTGACCCTGGGCCGTTCCTCGTCGTTCCGATTTGTTGTGCCAACAGTAGACAAGATGGCAAAATAGAACCTTCATATTCAGAGGCAGTATCCCTCAGCATAGTAAGGAGGGGCTTAAACCGTGTTTTCTGCTGGGGGTGGGGTCATCTGGTTACTCCTGGGAAATAGGATGCTTGTTAATATGGACCACTGATCTGATCCAGCATGGCTGCTTGTCATTGTTAGGGAACAAAGGGCTGTAATTGTGTTGCTATCAGTGTGGGAACAGTTACAGTGGACCATTTTTTTGCATAGGTATGTGAGTGAAAGAGCCCGTACATCTACAGCGGGTTTTCAGAAATGCCTGAAGAGTTGATGTACTTGAGAGGGAACGACTGCAGCTCGATCTGTGGCTCAGATCTGACCCAATTTCATCCAACACCCACATGAGCAACACAATTTTATTAACCTAATTAATATTGATCCTGCTCTGTTAAGCTGCTACGTGGTGCTGCTGAACTGCTTTCCCTAGACAATGCCATCTGCTATCTCTGCTATTTGGAGAAGATAAAATGCTGTTGAACTGACCCAGGGGTGGGTCCCTGGAGAAACTTCTCTGCTAGAGACGCAAGACGAGACTATAGCTGAACCTGTGGGCTGGCCCTCCCTGCAAACCACCTGCGATATCCCTGCTTTTAATAATAATAATAATAATAATCTTTCAATTTATTGATCGCTCAATCCTGCAGAGCTTGCTGGCTCTGAGCGATTTACAGTTACTCAATATTACAAGGGACTAACAATGATTTGTGGGGTAGGGGAGGACAACATATATACATCTTAATTCACACACAATCGCTGCCGACGGGGGTTTCATTCAGCTGAAGATGAGACGTCATCCGGACGGCATTTTTCCTCGGCCTGGTTTGATGGCGTCAGCTTTTCTCCAGACTCCTCCGAGTTGTAATGCCGCACTGCCACCGCCTGGCCGGAATGGCCCATTACAGGCTTTCTTCATGCCGAGGAGATCTCTAGGCTTTCCAATCTTGCGAGCCGATGTCCTTGTATCAAATGGGGGCCTTGGACTAGGTGGTCTGTGTTTCATTTATGAGTGTTACAGTACTTCCCCCCCCTTTGCTCAAATCAGGGGGGCGGAGGTTAAGAATTGCAGAACCTGGTGTGTGTGTGTGCGTGCATGTGTCACAAGGTAGACAACGTTCAGCTGAACCTTGCAAAGTGCACGTGCTTTAAGCAAAGTTAGTGATTTCATTTTCTATTTTCTGCTTATGCTACAAATCTACCTATGCCCGTCCTTAAAAATAAGGTGTCCCAATTCAATCCCAAATGGCCAAATAATCCAAAATCTAAAAGCATCAGCTCATCTGTGATGATCATCGAAAACCTGCCTTATGTCATACAGCACAAGCCATGACCCAACAGTAACTGATGGACAATGATCATATTAATTTTGAACCCAACCCTGCCTTGGGCAGTGGCCGAGAACAAGTGGCAGGCCAGATCTACTCAGCCAGTATTTTCCAAGGTTTGATTTAGCTGCAGCCAACACCCTTCTCAGGCCTAAAACAGGTACGACAGTTCTGTATCTCCCTTAGTCTGTAACACATAAATTGCAGCTTTGTTCAACCTCGGTTTGCCTGAGGACGACGTCCCACCCTCAGGCACCACTTGGTTTTGCTACTTTAAACCAAGCTGCCTGCTTTTGAGAAGACCAGCCTTTTAGAAACACCATATTGGGGGTAAGAAGCAAAACTGAGTGTGCATTAAGTTTTGCTCTCCCTTTAATGCAGGGGCATCAAACTCACTTGTTATGAGGGCTGAATTTGACACAAATGAGACCTTGTTGGGCCAGGCCATGTGTGTCAGAAAATGTAATGCCAGGTAGCGGAGATATCTCTCCTTATATATAATTGAGTAGTGAACATTCTAAATTTGGCCCCTTTAGTGTTTGGCCGGAAGAACTGCCACTCAGAAGACGCTGGCTGGGTTGACTGGCTGCTTTGTGCAGTCCCGCCCAGCGTTCCAAGGTCTTTTGCATGTGGAAGCTGATTGGACTTCACTCCATTCCACACCTCAAACTCCCCCCCCCCCGCAAGGCAGTTGGAATTTTCAGTTGCATATGGGAACTGCTGTATTCTGAGGTAACATATGTTCTCACTTAAAAGCTGCCTGGAGGATTATGGACCATTCACACACTTTCAACCTTAACATACCTCATAGGGTAGTTGTGCGGATCATACGGGGGAGAGGAGAATGATGTCAACTGCTTTGTTTCCCACTGCAGGGAAAGACTGCCCTTTCCCTAGCCAGAGGCTGTGTGTGGGGGGGATGTAAAACTTAAGACAGACAGGCAGATAAAGGTTGGCTGATGGTTGCGTGGAAAGGACATAGGGTTGCCAACTCCAGGTTGGAAACTTCCAGGATATTTTAG